TTCCTGGACTAATATGTTGTTAGCATGCATATGATGACTTAATCTATTGTACATAATCTTCTCAAGCACTTTAGAAAAGGTAGTTAAAAGTGAAATTGGTCTGTAATTTGTCATACTGGTTTTGTCCCCTTTCTTGTACAGCGGTCGTACTACTGATATTTTAAGGCGGTCCGGGAAAATGCCTGTGTATAATGAGTGATTACAAATGTGGGTTAATGGACGACTAATTACAGTAAGAAGAAAATTGACTTGCAAGTTCAGAATTGTACATAAAGTTACATGTCCTTCAGTAAGCCATTCCAGCCACTAAATCGTTCACTGCCTGGCAACTGATTCAGAACATAAATTAAATTATGTAAGCTGTATATTTAAATATAGATTAATTATATAGCATCAAATAAGCAACAGTCTCATTTACTGTTTGTAACCACTATCGCATATCTTATAACCGATTTATACAATGTCATTTAGTAACCTAAAATATAAGCATTTATAGTTATTGTCCAAAGAAGAATGTGTGACTTGTGTTGCAGGCACTTCTTCTAGCTTGGAAATGTCTAATCACGTGTCCTCGTTACCTGACTGGTCTCAACCGGTTACTCTAGCTGAAGAGTCACTACAACTGAAGTGGGATGATGATGATGATGATGATGATGATAACAGTGATGATGATCAGAGCCAGAGACCACTAGAGATGAAGATTGACCCAACGAAATCAGCAGAGAAAACCAATGATGGTAAGTTATGTCCATATAGTCACTGACTTCGGTATAGCGAACATTGAGTATAGATCCTGTTTCACTAGAATTCAAATTGTTCGAAACCCACTGTAAATAGGTTTTCTTTCCCTTTTCTTGTCAATATATTTTTACAGTATGGAAGGAATTAATGATGTAAATAAAACAGATTTTCATATTGGACAAAATTAAGGGGATGTGATTTTTAGGAATGTTTAATAAAACTGAAAGCCACCGATTAGTTTCATGTTTGTCCTAGTAGAAGAGTGCTCAGATTACCTGACCTATTTTGATATAACTTTTTGAGGTAAAAGACATATCCTAAATTTTTTCAAGCAATTTATTTTCATATTCATTTCATTTTGATGGCCACTTTACTTGTTACTATAAATATTATATCTGTTAAGCCCCATGACATGTTTGTGAATCTTGGTATATGGAACTTATGTCACAATTTGCCATATGTAAATTTCATTCATTTTAATTCTTATGGCTCATTTTACTGAAGGGCCTAAATACATCTTTAGACATACCTTATTAAATATTCACCAGAAAAGAAAATGTTTTGGATATAATCGTACAGAATCAATTGAATGCATATTACCATATATCTTAAACAATGTTTGCATAAAACTAAGTGATTTGGAAAAATCTCTGGTGTAGAACAATATCTTTTTAATTGTTTTTCATGGGATGTGTTGTCTTTCCTGCTATTGCCCTGCCATCTAGCTTAAGATAGCTCAGTTTACATGTTATATTTACCTTAAGAGGCAGCATAAATGAAAATCACCTCTGTAGTGCCACCCCAGGGATGCATTTATCCATTTTTATTTTAGTATATACATTCATTCCTTTAAGTTTGACATTTTACTGGTAAATGGTATTTATAAAATAAATATGTACATACATACATACATCTTTATTACATTCCATGGATCCATAAGTTAGTCAGATGACAA